GACATGCTTAGAGCACTATCAGTGTTACCTTTTGGAAATATATTATGTATCAACTCTCAGATGTTCTTATTGCAAAAGAAGCAGTAAGTATCTTCTTTTGGTGGAATTTCACAGACCTCTTTCAGTGATCTTACTTCACTAGTAGGATGGGGAAGAGTCCAGAAAATTAACTTATCTGCAAAAAACATTTAAAAATACTTTTTGTAATCTTGAGTAAAAATCCTACAGCAATTTTTGAAATTGTACCCTCTGCTTTCCTTTCTTAATGTGTGTGAAAAACACATACTGAACAAGTTTTTCCAAGGAGTAGGTGACAATGTTTTCCAGTTTTAATAATAACTGCAGTGACCTTTGTAGGAAAATTAGGTATGTCTTCATTAAAAAACAGTCAAGTAGGGCTGTTCTGATTAATCAAAATCTTTATAGAAAAAAAAAACCCCACATATTTTACTGTCTTTTTTTAACGTGTAGCTAAGGCAACTGGAAATTAATTTTTTCTTTGTGGAATAGTTTTCTTTCAGGGCTTTATTCTAGAACCTGGGTGGGCTACCTCATCCTACTGGCCGTTTTCTGCTTTGTTTTCTCCCCAGTCCTGACTGTAAGATAAGCATTTTGTCTAATTCACATAGAGGTTATCCGATATTGCTGGAAGTCAGACCCCTGCTTTTTATTACACTGAAGGCAGTTCATGTTTCTAGTCTGCAATAAAATCAGTTCAAGGGCTTTCATTTAACTTCATGAGCATGCTTAAGGGTTTTCATAGTACATATATGTGTTAGGCACTATGTAGATTAGCTCAACAGATTCTTACTTAATTTATATTGTGAGACTGTTTATAGTAATTAAAATTATTGGTCTGTGGTTCTGAGCTTGTGAAGATCTCATTTAGTACTAGCAGGCTTTTTTTTTTGAGGAGCAAGAGGTAGGCATGTGTTAACATAAGGTATCTGGGGGAATGGAACATCTACATTCAGAAATTTAACATGTTAATCAGTAAGGAAAAGAGTTTTAGTTAGCTATTCATGCAAATGGTGCTACTTTACAATGACTGAGTTCACTTTTCCTGTTAAAAGGCCTTATCCTGCTCTTCTATACACATTAAATGTTACCACTTTAAATACATGGCAAACCCACTCACTACCACCTCACTATGCAGGGTGTTAAGCTAATGATCCTTGTTGACTTAGTTCTAATATTTTTGAGAACAAGTGTAATAAAACTGCTGATCTGCGGACTAATACTTTACTCTTCTATAATTATCTTTGTAACGTAGTGCAACTTACAGCATGAACCAAGGCCCACTGCAATAAATGTTAATGACCTTATTGACGTCATTGATTCATTGATCTCCAACGGATTGCTTTGTCTAGTTTTATAAAGCCACTGCAGCTAACTGAAGACCATGCTTTCGAATAGACGTCAGATGGCAGTATTTCACAGCATAAAAGAATATAGCTCTCATTATACAGACTGCATTGTTCGAAAAAAATGGACTCATATGTAACTGATAGTGTTTTTTAACAAATAAGAAAGAATAATAGACATGGGAAGCAGTCCTGAAGGGTAGAGGAGTCCAGGAAGGCTGGACATTCTTCAAGAACAAAATCTTAAAGGCACAAGAGCAGGCCGCCCCATGTGCCAAAAGATGAGCTGGCGGAGAAGAAGACTGGCCTGACTGGACGGAGAGCTTTGGCTGGAACTCAGGAAAAAAAAAAAGAGTTTATGACCTCTGGAAGAATGGGCAGGCAACTCAGGAGGACTACAGGGCTGTCATGAGGTTATGCAGGGAGAGAATTAGAAGGGCCCAAACCCAAATAGAACTTAATCTGGCCACTGCCATAAAAGACAATAAAAGATGTTTCTATAAATACATGAGCAGCAAAAGGAGGGCTAGGATAATACTTTATTGGATGCCAAGGGGGAGCCATAGTGACAAAGGCTGAGGAAAAGGCTGAGGTACTTAATGCCTTCTTTGCCTCAGTCTTTAACAGTAAGACCAGTTGTTCTCGGGGTACCCAGCCCCCTGAGCTGGAAGGCAGGGATGGGGAGCAGAATGAAGCCCCCCTAATCCAAAGGGAAATGGTTACTGACCTGCTATACCACTTAGACACACACAAGTCTATGGGGCTGGATGGGATCCACCCAAGGGTATTGAGGGAGCTGGCAGAAGTGCTCACCAAGCCACTTTGCATCATTTATCAGCAGCTGTGGCTAACGGGGGAGGTTCCAGTTGCCTGGAGGTTAGCCAATGTGATACTCACCTACCAGAAGGGCCAGAAGGAGGATCTGGGGAACTACAAGCCTGCTAGTCTGACCTCGGTACCAGGGAATGTTATGGAGCAGATCATCCTGAGTGCCATCACATGGCACATACAGGACAACCAGGTGATTAGGCCCAGTTAGCATGGGTTTAGAAAGGCAGATCCTGCTTGACCAACCTGATCTCCTTCTGTGACAATGTGAACCACTTAGTGGATAAGGGAGAGGCTGAGAGAGTTGGGGTTGTTCAGCCTGGAGAAGAGAAGGCTGTGGGCAGACCTGATTGCGGCCTTCCAGTACTTAAAGGGGGCCTATAGGAAAGACAAGGACAATCTTAGTAGGGCCAGCTGTGACAGGACAAGGGGTAATGGTTTTAAATGAAAACAGGGTAGGTTTAGACTAGATATAAGGAAGAAATTCTTTACAATGAGGGTAGTGGAACACTGGAACGGGTTGCCCAGAGAGGTGGTAGATGGCCCATCCCTGGAAACATTCAAGGCCAGGCTGGATGGGGCTCTGAGCAACCTGATCTAGTTAGCGGTGTCCCTGCTCCCTGCAAGGGGGTTGGACTAGATGATCTCTAAAGGTCCCTTCCAACCCAAGATGTTCTATGATTTTAGTAAAGCCTTTGACACCGTTTCCCACAGCATTCTCATTCTGCTTGAGAAACTGGCCACCCATGGCATTGACAGGCATACTCTTCTCTGGGTAAAAAAACTGGCTGGATGGCTGGGCCCAAAGCATGGTGCTGAATGGAGTTAAAACCAGTTGGTGGCTGATCACAAGTGGTGTTCCCCAGGTTTCCATGTTGGGGCCAGTCTTGTTTAATATCTTTATCAATGATCTGGATTAAATCTTCTATACAATTTTAGAAAAAATACACAAAACCATAATGCACAGTGATTTCTGCATTCTGTGGTGCTGTTCAGTATTGAGTTAAATCTGTGAATACATTGTTATCAAATTTCACATATGACGCAGTACAGTTAAACTTGTCTAACATAATGGGGCTGACACCTGATAGCAATGTCATTCTTAATGCAGGTTGACCTTTCAGTTGCTGTTCCGCTCTACTTCTGTCAGCATCATGATGTTCTCTCTATAATCCTCATCAGGAATTTTGGCTTCCATGCTAAGTACAAAGGTGATTCCCCTCTGTTGTGGCAGAAGGCTGCTTTTTCAGGATTCCTGATTTTGCCATAAGATAGAAAACAGTATTTGCTGGTCATGTGATTGTGGTCAAACACCTTTCACCCCATTGAAAGCCTGGACACTGTGTGAGCTTCGAAAGGAAGTTCTTATTTACAAAGGAAAGCTGGATTTTAAGACAAAGTAAAAGAGGAAAAATATAATATCACACCAACGAAAATGTTATATAGACACTGTTCTGACATTAAAAAGAAATATCTCACAAAATGGTAATGGTTTTTTCCTGTAGGATGAACAGGAAGTGTGGTTATAACTGAAAAGGTTGTTGTTGCTGTAAAAATGAATGTACCAAGCTTAAGCAAGTATTAGCCTACCAGTAGTTATTACAGGTCTTTGTCCACTATCAGTGAGTTATAAAAAAAAATTGAACATGTTTATAAAAATTTTGTCTTTTAGAATAGCTGAAGTGAGCTATTTTAATTAAAAATGGAAAAATAAATCTCAGGATTTGGTGGATCTGAAAACTGCAGCAGTATTTCGTTTGCATAATGCCATGAAGAAAAGATATTCTAAAGATGAAACTTAATAGCAGTATCTATTGACCAAATAAATGCAAGTACTTTTGCATTTTTATATTTTGGAAGTTCTCTCTTAATTTCTTTGGATAGTTTATTTCCCCACCAGCTGTGAATAGAAAGAAGGCACTTCCTTAGTTCAAGTAGTGGTCATGATATGATGATATACTAAATTAAGAACATCTCATTAAACAGTTGCCGGTAGCTGTCATAGTTTGATATCAGTCTGTGTGCAGATCTTAAATGTTTGGTTTGTTTTTCTGGAAAATGTAAGGTAGCAAGTATTAGCCTGTCCTAAATGCATTTGAAAACTGGTTGTGATAAACTGACTTGGAAAGGGAGGTCAGAGGAGGGGGGAAGAAGGCAGAACCTAAACCCTTTTACTTTATTTAGTTGTAACATTTGCTATTAGCTTAAGAGGTAAAAGTTTGTAATCTTAATTTGTAAATGGCGACTACAAAGATAAATACTGTAGATCCTGGAAAAAACAGAAGAAGTTATTCAGCAGTCCCCCTTCCTTTCAGCCTCCCTGAAGGCTCAGGAATAAGCAAACGCAAAGAATAACCAAACAAAATGAGCACGCATCTGATGTTTAAGCCCTCCTCCAGCACTTTTTATGTACATAACGAGAAGTTGCTCAAGCAGCTGCAGCACATTAGTTCCAATAGTCAAACAGGCAGCTTTACAGCTCCAACAAAGGCTGTGCTAAGGCAGTTTCTTCCTCCCGTGCTCACTTGCTGTGATAGCTAGTAAGTGATCTTTGGCAGCAGGGCTGCGAGAGGAGTGGTAATGTTTAATAGGTTCCTGTGGAGAAGTTAGCTTGCTTTTTTTTCTTTGTAGATCATTATCTATAGAGAGACGCTGAGGGCAGGCGACACCATGCTGAAAACAGAATAGGCGGAACTGGAGTTGGAGCTCTGCGCAGTTCTTGGGAACTGCTTTAGAAAGGAAATATTTTAAGCAGTTAAGCCAATATTTTATTGTATTAGACCTTAATAACAAACTTACTCGGGGAACATGGCTCAGCAGACAAGTCTAGACACTTTAGCTGTTCCTGAAGCGGATAATGCACATTGTCAAAATCCATGGTTAAATGAAGATCTTGTGAAGACCCTGAGGGAAAACCTGTTGCAACATGAAAAGTCCAGGACATCTAGGAAATCTTCATCTGCTTCTCCCCGGCTGTCTCCAGTGATTTCTCCTCGAAACTCTCCAAGGCTTTTGCGCAGGATGCTTTTAAATAGCAATATACCAAAACAGCGGCGTTTCACTGTGGCACATACCTGGTAAGCACTGAGCGGGTTGTCACGAAATGTCAGATTAACTTTTTTTGTAGAGCATTTACCTTCTCAATGTCAGTGCTTATATTTCTTGGTTTGATCTCTGCATGAAACTCTCTGGTTGAAAGAGACAGTTCTAATTTGTGACTCAAGTTCATTTCAGACCTGAAGGTTGAAACATGAATTTGTAGAAAGTAAGAAAACATATATTTGCTTGCACAAAAGCGACTTTATTTCCTCTGATTTCTATTTCTTAGGTAATAATTCCTTTCTTCCCCTCCCCCCGAAATAAAAACTGGAGTCTTAAGAAGAATAAGTACTTATGTCATTCTGTGCTGTTCAGGCCAGAGTGAGTAGGCAGATTTTTCTTTAATGTATCTTATAATACATTAATTTATTTATAATTTTTTTTTGAAATTTATGACCCCTTTGCCCCTAAGCAGAATAGCATACATTTATTTATCTTTTAACAGCACTCAAATAAAGAAGGACATGATAAAGAAGAATGGTGGTAAATACTGTATATGGAACAGTGATTTTTATTAAAGTGTTTGCTAGAATAAACAGAGGAAATACAGAAAGGGAACCTCTTGTTAAGTGATTCACTATTACTACATTTTTGTAACTCGATCATTTCTTAGACATGTGTTTATGGTCAAATCTGTAAAAGACATTAATTTTGTTGCATTCATCTTCTGTAAAACATTAGCATAATTTCATTATTCATTTTATTCTTTTTTAAAATGTTGCATATGAGATTATTGTAACTCAGTAATACATTCCTGTTTGCTGTGATGGTCCTGTGTTCTTGATGTGTTGTGCTTTTCCTGTGAAATTTTTCCCCCATTATTTTTCAAATAAAAATATAATATAAAGAAAGGAGGGCAATGAAATATGTTCAAAGTCGGTCATGCATTGCAAGCAGAAAATGGATAAGCTATTCAAGTTTATCTTCATTTGTCTGAAATTAGATTTACACCATAGCTATGTGACTGGTATGTGCACCGCACATTGTATACATGAGTACCTAAGTATTTACTATGTATATATTTGTGTAGCTAAAATACTCCTTTGATAAAATAATATTTTTACCCTTGAAAAGGATGAGGAAAACCAAGTATGCCTTCATACTTAAAGAATATTTGTTCTGAAACTGGTGTACTGTGTCAGAAATTGCATCTGTAATAGAGAAAACTGAATGGGATTAGGCTATTTCATGTTCCCTTAACAGTTATACCTAAATCCTGTCAACATTAAATATCTGTAACTGCTGGTCTGCAGTAAACAATTTATAAAATAGTCTATGCATAAGAACATGCAGGATTAAAAAAAATAATTCAGGCAGAGCTGGTTTGCATTATATGATGAAAATAAATATGAATTTTTGAAAGTTTACAGGGGGAAAATATCATATGTGAATATGTATGTGTTATGACAGTTATTATAGACAGTTCAAGAAGACAGAGAAAGGAAGGGTATTAAAAAGGACAGATATAGAGTGAACAACCAGGTTTGGGCAACGTGAAATGGCGAAGGCTGGCATAGTATTAAAAAGTGGAATTTTGTTTAAACGCACTTCCTCTAGTGAGCTTCAGAAAGTTTTGAATTTGGGTAGGGTGCCTTTTTCAGCATGATGTGGAGTGTAGGAAGTGCTTGGGGTTTTCCCAAACATGTGAAATACTAGGCCTGGAAGATACTGTTGTTGAACAATTCATAGTTATTTCTAGATGATTTTAAGTGCTACTAAGATGAGCCGGTCTTATTTTTCAGCAAGTAGAGAAATGAAGAGGCAAGCAGGGAGTTACAATAAATTACCCGAGAACCTGTAAAGTTCAGTATTTCAGAAATTAAGATGGAGGAGAAGAAAACACTAATCTTCAGTCAAGAAGTAGGTGGCAGATCGATGAATTCTTCTGGCAACATGGTTCTTCCCCTTGTCTTTTGTAAGGCCTATAGCTCTCCCCCTGTAATGGCCTGGGATGTAGAACTTTTGCCATCAAAATGCATTTTCATTATCATGTGATAATTATCCTTTCACATGAATAATTGAGTTATCATTTTAAGTCATAAGGCAGAAATGTTCGGTCATGCAAGCACTGCATAAATGACCTCATTATGAACTGTTAAAATGCCTTCATTTTTTTGTTATGTGATGAGGTATACAATCATAGGATACAATGTTCACATACATGTCCATGTACAGAGTGGGGTGATGGTATATTATGTAAAAGGCATGCTAGCTACTTGAGAACAAAAAGGGTGATGTAGTATCTAAGCATTTAAGACCTCTTTAAGAAGCTTTATGGTTCTTCCTAGAAAGGTTGGACCATTGTGTCTTCTGAAAACCACATCTTGTATAAAAATTGTCATGAAAATTGTATACAAACTGGGCCATTTACTAGGGAGTGCTTTAGAAACTGATTGAACCATGTATTTAAATCTGTTCTCTCTGTATCAGTTGTGTTCAGGAAGGCACGACTTAATACGTTATTTTTGAATTTGTTTTTGATAGGAGGTTTCCATGCACCATGTTCAGAAATGTGGTTGTTTAACTTTATTTTGCTTACAATTGTGTAATGGAAAATTCACCAATATTTCTTTCAACTCAGAGTTCACCACTAGCCTTTAACCTCAGCCATTTTATGAGTCCTTCTGTCCTTCCTTTTCTCCTTGATCCTTCCTCAGCTGTAACCCTCGATTCATTCTAACACTTGAAAGACAAACTACTTGTTTGAGGATTTTAGAGAAGAAAAATTATGCCATTAAGGATGGGTTGAAATAGAAAGTTATAAGTAGTAGAGATCCATGGGATCTACATTAGTTATGGAGAAATTTCAGAATAACTTATAGCTTCAGAGTGTCACAGCTAGTCTTGCCTATACCTGTGAAATTAAAACTACTTGAGTCACCTTGAACTTTTAGCCTGGATCACTGTCAGTCTATAGACAACGTCTGTCTACAGGCTTTAAGAAATTACCATAGCAACTGAAAAGAAACAGGTGTTTCAAAGCTTTGTGGGCAGGAATTCAAATATACTCTAGCCAAACCCAATTAAAGTTCCTCAGAAATACGCATTATATTGTCTAACAATAAAAGTAATCGTAACGCTTTAAGATCTGGTCAATATAATGACGCGACAGCGTGTATTACAACTGGACGCAGACGAGATAAAATAAGTCCACTGATACGTGCTTGACAAATTCAGTTCCTGGACTATCTTGGCTGGCTTTTCATGTACCTTTTCTAAGCTGCCTATTACCCCAGTGTGGTCTGGCAGGAGAGTTCATTAGGGTGGGGTAAAACGAGCTGGGATTTGTGAGGAGAGGGGGCCTTCAGTTACAGGGAAGGACACTCTCATTCCCCAGCTGTGTGAACAGCCTGTGTGTGTGATACATGTCCAAAGGTCCGTGGAAGGATGTTTAGATATTTTAAATTGTACAGCTTTAGTAACTTGTGTGGGAATTCAGCTTTCCTTTATTTTCCAAGAAAAATTCCTTTTGTAGGAAAGGGAGAAGCCAGAAGCATAAATATTTGGAGCAAGATATTAAGGGCAGTGCAACATAGCAACTAAATTGTACTTATTTCATTGGAAATAGTGTTTGCATGTGCTTGACTTCTTTGACCTTATTAATTTGCTGCTTTAATACTTCTCAGTGAACACAAAATGTTCAAACAGTTGTGTATAACATTGGACAGATTCTTTCCTGCCTTTGTGATTTATTTGTGCGTGTTCAGATACAGCAAGCAGTGATATATGACTTTTTTTCATTATATAGTGGTTTTGTTATCCAAGGGCCCATTGTCAGTCTTCCCTTTTGATGTATGTCGCCTCTCCAGCTCTTCTGGGGTTCATTTAGTACTTTCTGATGTTCAGGGGTTTTATGTTTTTGTTCTTTAGACTTCTTTTTTTTAAAACATGCTCCCCCAAACCTAACAATTTAATATGATTACTGACTGTAAGAATACAAGTATGTGCTCAGTTATATAGAGTACTTTCATCTGAATTCAGCAGCCTTTGTCCCCACCCATAGTAAATAGTTTTGCATTGACTTTGGCATTCAGATATGAAAACGACAGATGCCTTAGAAATAGTTTAGACAGATATGGGTAAGGTGTGCCATTTTAAGTTTCAGGAATGTAACTGACATAAGGGTACTGATAAACTCTGGTCTTTGTTTATTTTTATTGCACAATATCTTTCATGCACCTTTAGCACTGATTGCAAAAAAACAACAAAACCTGAAGTATTGGTTATAGGTAGATTGCAGAAGAGCAATGTATTTAACTTGATGTGGTTCTTCACTGCCTGGTTCAGTGTATTTATGCTGAAACTACTCACCAAAACTGAAACTACAGACTTTTTCTCACTACAATTTTCTTCCCATTTTCAAAACATACTTTCTTCAAACATTTTTAATGCCTGTCTATCTTTTCCTCTCCTTCACTACTCAGTGCTTTTCAGGGAACTAAAATAATTACAATTTGGTGTATGAAAAGGCATTTCAAAAGGAAGATCCATCAAATCAGGGTAGGATGATAACTATGCTAAGAACATGAGAGAAGGACAGGATTCGTGGTTTCTATGCTCTATGTATTGCATACACTATCCTAACAGCTGAAATGTTGTAGAGAGTTGTGCAGAGTAGTTCAAACTACTGTGGAAAGAAATGTGAGTATTATGGAAGAATATTTCAAAGAGAAGCCAGATCGGAGCATATTTTCCCAATTTAATTACAGGCATGTACTCATGAGATTAGAGGCAGCATTTATAATCAGGTTACAGATGCAATAAAATTCAATTAACAATAACACCCTTTTGGAACTATTAAAGTAAATTGTAAAGTTTAAGAAGAGAAGATTATTTGAGTAAGATGAAGATAAGTTGCACATTTGCATATGTGACCTTGTTGTTTAGGTTCGATTAAGAAAATATTCAAGTTTCTTCTACTACTTCCATGTGTTTTCGCACCTAAGTTTTATTTGCACTTTCCAAATCAGCTAATATT